ATCCTCCCCGGCGGCCCCATTCTGGTATTTGGTTTACATTAAAAGCCTTAGAAAATCAGTAAGTAGAAAAAAGAAATTGAGAAAAAAAAATTCTTCTTCTTCTTCATATCTTCTTCTGATAACACCATAATCAAATTGTTCTCTAAAGCTTTAATTTTTTTGTTGGGTTTGTGAATGCAGAGCGAAAGAGCCATTCTTGCCTCAGATATCAAGAAATTATCTGAGAATCAAGTGAGATTTTTCTCTCTAATTAACCTAATTAAATTGCTCTCTTATTTGTTTAATTTTCTTCCCCTTTGACTTTATTATCTCTCTCTCTCTCCCCCCTTTTACTTTATTTCTCCCTTTTTGTTTTCTAATTTTGATTGAACTTTTGAAGTTGAAGCACATAAGAATGCTGAAACTTTTATGGATAATCACCTTTTTTTTTCTTTTTTCTTTTTGTTTTTTAATCAATAGGGATGAAAAGATGACAGTTCGATTGGTTATGAAGTATTTGGTTAATAAGCTGCATCTGGATAGCGAATCAGAGGTATTTATAAACAATAAACTTGTTTGATTTCTCTTCATATTTTAGGGATGGATAATTTAGATAATTAATTAACCATTAATTGTTGCTTTATGTTTGGAAGTAAAGGTAATATTTGGATTTATGGTTTGGTGTTACCTGAGCTGATGGAAACATCAAAACTAAAATAGGGCTTCACTTAGGTTCACTTTTTAGGCTTCTAGGAGGTTAATTTATTACCCATCCTTCATTCTTTTTTTGTTTTTTTGTTTTTTTTTTTGAAGTATATTGTTACACCATATATATTTTTATGTGTGTACAAACATTAGCATTTTTAGTGGTAAATTAATATGGTTAATTAGTTTTTGAAGAAATGGATAATTGCAAATTACATTAGGTGTAGTTTGCAAATTTTGTTAATCATAATCTCAAATTTGTATTATTGCAAGATCTAAAAATTGTACCATTCTCTAGAACCCCTGGATGGCACCGTAGCAAGTATATGAGATCTTGTGGTATATCACCTACTATGAGATCTTGCGTTCCAGCTCTACTGGTCATAGTTTTGTTCAACCAAGCCAACCGACCCCAATTAGTGGGATCTACTAGCATAAGCCACATGGTTTCAGTTTCAAATTTTTTAGGTCATATAAAATCTTAAAGGATCATGGTAATTTATTATTATCAATGCTCTGAATGCGCTTGAGATCAAAGAGGACTTATTAATATGTTAGGTCCATCACTAGAGGATTCAAATGAAAGTTTTTAGGGACAATTAAAATATGTAAAGAAAACAACTTACCAACTTTTTTCCATTACAAACCCTAGAGATATTGAATATTAATGTGTTGGTGCCCAAAGGCAATATTAATTCTCAAATTCAATTAGACAAAAACTTTGCATCTTCATATAGAACAGAAGAATTATATATAATTAACAAATCTTTAGCTTTAAGAATGATAGCTAGCTTGTCTCTTTTAATGTTTATTTGCTTTTAAGGTTTCCATATGTTCTTTTTTAGTGTTTCTTGGACTTGAAGACCTGTGCCTAAACATATGAAACTGACTTAAATTACTAATGCTTTGTTGGTTGGGATAATTTTAGGAGTTTAATTCATTTGAATGTATATTTGTTGGATTATTGTTCTATCCTATTTTGAAGTTGCATGAAATTATATTAATAATTTCTAGTAATAAATTTGTGTTTTTTGTTTAAACTAACATTTCTTTTCCTTCACTTTTTCTAAATGTTGGTTTTGAAATCTTCACCAAATTTCAAAAGTTAAAACATACATATTTTTTGTAACTACCTTTTTTATTTTTTGAAATTGAATGAGAATCTTATAAAATTTTTTACAAAATAGATTAAAAAAAATAAGCATAGTTTTTTTTTTAAAAAAAAAAGTTATTATCTAAGCTAGTTAATTTAACCATGTAATAAATTCACATAAGATATTAGACAAGCTCAAAAAAGAAGACTACATTATTTGGTGGCTTGTCATATGTCATATATAGATGAGTTTATCTATTTTTTAATATTGATATTTCTTTTACTATTTAAACAGTGATTTTTATATATAAAGTAGATCTAATATTTTTTTTTTTCAAAAGGAAATGAAAAATCCAGAGGATGTATATATATATATATATATACCTCAATCAGAAAGAATTAAATGTATTTTATAAATGAAAATTGAAAGTACACATAACAATTTAATAGACTATGATTGCTAAAATTTATCCCAAAGAAAAAAAAAACTATGATTGCTTGCATTAAAAAAGTGCTGGTTAACATGGATGAATTAATAAGTAAAATTATTCCTAGTAATAATGTAGATATGTAAATTGATCATAAAAAGCATTTCTAACACTTATCATAATTCTGATTTTCAAGCTCACACTTAATTATGTAATATCAATAGTTCTTTCACTAATTATTAGAAAACAAAGAGCTCATAAATTATATAATATTTTTGGATCTCCAAGCCTTGTTTATTTTCATTTTCTATGTTTTGTAAACATTTTTTTAAGTAAAAAAACAAAATAAGAAGAATTATGAGCAAATAAGTTTACTCTTTAAGAAAATAAGATTAAAAATCAAATTATTATTAAATCAAGCCATACTTATAAATTTAGTTTGAAAGTATATATACAAATTCACCCATTGTTTTGAAATAGTTTTAAACAAATTTTTGTAGTTTTGAGAATGGTAACTAAATTCTAGTATTAAATAGGGTGTATTTGCCACAAATATAGACTAATTCTATTAACAAATGGTGTAAAATTTAGATTTCAAAAAATTCATAAAATATATAATGTGTTATTTATTTATTTTGATAACCTAAGGGTGTCATTTATAATTATAATTATTAATTCCTTATCGTTGTATGTATTTTGAGTCCAATACAAACATTCAATAAAAAAAGTTTTACTAGTAAATTACAATCATCGTTAATAGATACAATAGCTTCAAGAATAATATTTTACTTATTAGATATAGAGTTTCAATAAATCAAATTGCTAATTAAATTTTTATCTTTTTATACAAATAAATTCATAATAGTATAAATCTTGTCGGCTTACTAACTATTTTTACTATTTTCAGTAATTAGATTTTAAAATTAAAAAAGTAAAGAAAAGTGTTGTTGAAAGTTATTTTTGTTTTTAATTGGATAACATGCATTAAAACAACTCTTTCCCATAAAAATTAGGTAAACCTGAATTTAAATATTGGAAAAAAATTGTAATAATGATGAAAATAATTATATATAGAGAAGTAAGTGAAAAAAAAAAACCATATATGTTAAATCTCAATATTAAGAATGACATTAACAATGAAGCATTGTTTGAGAAAATTGATGAATATTCCATCTAATGTCATACCAATTTATCAAATAATTTACCATTTCAAGTCAACCCCAATACTAAAAACTTAAAAATGATTCCTTCATCTTCTTACATTTTCATGTCATTTGCAATAAGCACATAATATAATCACCTTAATTAAAAAATAAGTATGGCTAATTAGGAGCAACATGATCCTAAAGAAGGAAGAGTTTATACTTTCTTTTCAGATTTTATCTATTTAATTATATCAAATATTAAATAGACTATATAACTGAGTTTAATGTGAATGTATGTATTTAAATATATTGATGCATGCATGCATAATATATACATATATACATATAGTTTTTTTCTCTC